TTTTTTTTTTTTTTTTTTTTTGTGCAATGATTCTATCAAGACAAAACAATGATGACAGAATTTCTTACTCATGGGAAATCCTCTTTCTTCTTCTTCTTCGTCTTCTGGTCATAGTCATCCCTCAAGCTAAATATATATACGTATATAAGGGTGACATTTTACTAGATTGTTGATACATAACCTATCTGTTTAACATATATTATTCACAAGCAAAAGAGAGGAAAAAAAAAGATAGAGACGATGATCTATTGTATATGCAATACACATCAAAAATGAACTTCCGATTGTATGAACAATAAGTTGCGTAAGATAAAGCAATAAAAATCATCGAACGAGCAATGTTCTAATTGCAAGAAGAAGAAGACATGTGTTTCTATTCTCAACATTGACTTGTTTACACATTCATACATCATAATATATTGAGATTTCTTATTCATTTATTCACTTTTTTCTTGCCTGAATAGAATAAGAGTCTATTTAGACAATTCTTCATGTTCTTGATTATCTCGATAATTCACAGTAAGGAAACAATTCAAGAACATCTTCAAGGCAAAAAAAAACAAAACAAAAAACTTTTTTCTTCTATTTGTTTAATAATCTTCAATGTGTATCGAGCACGCTCAAAAAAAAGCAAATAGAGAATTCTTCGAGACGAATTCAATCGCCTACGATTATATACTTGACAGCATCAAAGCATACAACATACACATTCAGGCTATTTGATATTTAATAATCAAACTATAAGTTTGCCATCCCTACTGGACAGGTCATTCACCGTCGTTTCTTTTGTTTCATCGTTTTTAGTATGCATATGTATATATAGACAATCGAACAACATTATATATATATATATTATAAAGACGGAGGCAATGTAATCATATTAACTATAGGTAGCCGTTTCAACCGGAGGAACGATAGACCTTTGTTTTTTAAATGACTCATGAAAGGTGCTAGTGGCTAAGTAATTCAATCATGAATTATTATTTTCAATGAAGACCTAATAAAATAATAATTAGAGAAAAAGACTCATATACATATATATATAGATGTATTTCTTATGAAGATTTAATGAACCATTTAAATTTATATCAAAAGACCAATAGTCTATTCATTTGGGTACCATTTGTCTGGATATTACTAAGACTATTCGATTGAGACAATTAAGAAAGGCGGCAATGAAGAAAAAACAAAAGAAAGATATCACCTTCGTATCTTTTAATGAGCTATTGTGACAGGTCTCATTTAAACATATGTGTCTGTACACATCTTGACAGTGATGCGACAAGTTGTCAGTTAGTTAGATTAATATTTTTTTTAAAAAAACAAACAAACATAATAATCTTACTTGGTAAACTTAACATAGCTGGTTCACTTTCAAGTAAACCATAACGAGTTGATACAACACAAGCATAAGCACCCGGTTGTGTATATGCAGTATCACCAAATTGATATATTCGTAATTCATTATCATGCATTTCAATTATCGATGGATTTAATTCAATACGTTGTCCAACATGAGTCCAATAAGCAACAGATATAAATGGTGTATCACTACTTTCACATAATAATCGTACTTCAGATGATGATGGTATTACAGCAGATTGTGGATGTACACGTACTTGTGGTAAACCATCTAGAATTTATTTATTTATTTTTTTGAATGAAAATTTTTAATCAACAATTACTTTTTATTTACTTACCAATAATATTTAAATAAAAACTGAATACGATAATATAGATTAATTTCATTGTTCATAATACATTATAAAGAAATAAAACAAAGACATCTACAATTAATGAAAACATATGATGTAAGACGTGTATAAAGTAACCAAAAAGAAAAATAAAAAGAAGAAATCTTCATTAATACACATGGACGCATCAATTGTTCATACAAATGAGCATCCAAACAGTAAGAATAATAACAATACGAACCCTATCCTTAGTTTTAATGAGATCAGGTTGAACGAGAACTGACCGCCTATCGTCAGCTGTTCGTTCATTCATTCATTCAAAGAAAAATAAAAAAAAAAAAGACACAGACAGCGTGTAAAAGTAGATGAGGGGTGTTATTGTTGATAGTTGGAGCATATTTTCTATATAATTACAAAAGTAGTAGACAGACAATAGGAGATGATCATAATGGAAGCATCTTTAAGTAAAAAAGAAGAAGAAGAATTAAGACAAGCCGAAAAGAAGAAGAAAGGTGTCTACATTGTTCAAACATGAAGAACGCAAGAAGAATTCAATAAGTCATCATCATTTTTTTTCTTTCTCTCTCTCTCTCTCTCATTTTTCTCTTCAAAAGATTGTTCATCTGTCAGCAAGCTGCTTCTTTTTCTCTTTTCTCTCGTACAATTTGTTTTAGCATTTCCGCTTATACTCTCTGGGTCGTCTCATTTCATACGAACGACATGTAAAGGTGAACAAAAATAGTAACTCCACCCCTATCGCTACAACAGTAGCACAACATCATTTTTTAGTTAGAATGCGACATATAATATATGCAAAAAGAAGAAAAAAAAAAAACGAGGAGAACAACATTAGAAAAACGTCAATTGGGAATTACGTGTCAATGTCTCGCTTGAATATGCCTTATGAATAAATAAAAGCAAAAAAAAAAGAGAATGTCTCAACGATCAATAAAATTAGAGAAACAAGAAAGAAATGCTTCACACTTATTCTTCTCTTCATGTCGAAATACGATGGACAAATAAACTGTCTTTTTTTTTGAGTAGATACATGAAAGTCGCTATAGTAAACACCTCAAATGAATGAACTTTCAAGGCAAATAAATCATCTTTACCGACGCGCTGATCTTCATCTCATTGTACACACACATATATATATCGAATAGAAAACACAGAAACAAAAAAAAAAAAAGAAAAATGAGAGCGATGCGATCACTTCTTTTGCTTCAAATAAAATGTATTTATATATGCTAAGATTACTATCAATGTTTAATAGACATGCAATTGAACAGTTCATATATATCCAGAAAAAAAAAAAAAAAAGAAAAATCAGATGTATGCTATATAGTCAATGACTAAATGAAATACGTTAGCGGTCTCGCATATATAATATAAAGATAAAAACAGTTCAAACATATTACCGACAAAACCGTTCAGTTGTTTTTCTTTCTACACTATTAATCGGACATGGAAATTTTAATTAATTTTTTTTCCTAAGAAAGAAAAAAAAAGAATAGATGAGTTATAATATTCAATTTGATAAAGTTTTTGCTAAGATTAAACACACATGCACATCCGCTCGTTAAAGATAATGGTTGGTGACCTTCATGTTATCAATAATATCATCGTCTACTTTTCCTACTCTTCGACAATATTCTTTCGTCATATACATATACATATATATGTGTGTGAACATTATATATATCAACAAAAGTTCAATAGATAGATGGAAGAGTCTAATCAACAATATCGATGAGTAGTAGTATATGTTGTTTATAGTTAAAGATAGATAGAGTGATAGATACTCACTCGTTTCGCTTAGTGAAATAGTAGTTTAGATTGAGATTTTTATCATTAGAAAAAAAAAGAGCACATGTTTTTTTTTTCTTCTTCTTTTGCAATATGATTGTTGATTATTATAATGATCACGATGATGCGTAATCATCAACAAATTGCACGAACGATTGATCGCTAGACGTATATATATTCGATGCACTGCTTTTACTACTACTATTATTTGTATGTCGCAATCACAACTACTCGTTGTTGTTGACCACCGCCTTCAATCAATATGAACAGAAGGTAGCCATTAGACGATAGAGAGAGAAAGAGACAGAGAGTTGCGTTCTCTTCAATTGAGTGGACACGTCGATGGTTTTATTGAAATCGACAAGCAGCCAGCGGTACGGAGAGTAGAAGAAGAAAGACGATGATGAACAAGTCCTTCATGTCTTGATGTGCGTTGACCTGTTTTGACGATGCACTGACAGAAACGACGAGAGAAGACGAAGAAGAAGAAAAAAATCGCTCACTCACTCTCCGATCAGTGTCGCTTCCGCACGTATGGTTGAACGCAAGCATCTATAAAAAAAAGAAAAAAAAAAGAACGGAGAAAGGACTGAAGAAAAAAAAAAGGAACATAGTGTTCTTCTTCTTTCTTTATTGCTCAAACGATCGGCAATGGCTTATCTCCTCGTCATTTTTTTTTCATCTTCCTCAATCTAAGTAACGGATATAAAAAAAAAAAAA